CCTCCCTCCTTACACTCCCCAGCTCTGGGAGGGGAGTGGGGTCTAGGGGTTAGTGCATGGGGGCTGGGAGCCAGGACTCCTGGATTCTCTCCCCAGCTCTGGGAGGGGAGTGGGGTCTAGGGGTTAGAGCAGGGGGGGGCTGGGAGCCAGGACTCCTGGGTTCTATTCCCAGGTCTGGGAGGGGAGGGGGCTCTAGTGGGTAGAGCAGGGGGGCTGGGAGGTAGGAATGAAGGGCTCAGGGGGGTGGGCTCTAGGGGGCACTAGCTCCCTTCAGCCCCAGGGCGGAGGAGTGGCTGGGTCAGTAGTTCGCAGGCGGGGGGTTACAGTAGTTGGCAGTTCTCAGCTGGACCCGCCAGCGGCCGGGCTGTTTGCCACAGCTCCAGCGCCAGCTCCGCCCCGGTGGTTTCTGCTCTCGCGTTGCCAAGGTTTGGCTGCAGAGGTTTTGCCGACTAAGGCTGGAGAAAAGCAGGTGTGGAACGAAGAGGGTAGCAGGAGACAGGCAGGTTCTGCAGCTTCTCAGCAGATAAAAGTTTCTTGCATTAGGGATCAGGGCGCGTCACGGAGTTTTTGATGTTTATTTCCTCCGTTTTTTCCCCCAAAAAAAGTTTTGGTGGGGCGGGGGAAGGAGAAAGAACAGGACCGCGGGGGAGAAAACCTGGGTCTGAGCGGCCCGGGCAGCTTTCGGCTTCTCAGTGCCGGATTTGACTAAATCACACAGTTTTTGGTTATTCATTCCCTAGGTTTGGTTTTTTAATTTCCAAAAGGACAGAGGGAAGAGAAAGACCCAGAGGGGGAAGATCTGGAGCAGAGAAGCTCCCGCGGCTTCCGAACTCTCCGGCCGACGGAGGTTTTTCGCCATCCCAATTTTTTTCGTAGTTTCCCCCCTGTGTCCCGACGGCTGGAGGCAAAAGGGAGACAACCGGGATGTTGTCGGCTTGGTGGATCCCCTGAGCTGTACCCTGCGGGGGATGGTGCGGGGGCCAGAGCTCTGGATGGAGGGCATGGGGGATATTAGCCATGTAGGGTGCAGAGAGACAGGGGATCAGGGGAGGGAATTTGACCAGCCCCCCGCAGCACGGCACCCCCCAGCGCCCGGCCCCGACTGCCAGGGGAGAGCGGCCCCTGCCCAGCCCCCCCGCAGCACAGCACCCCCTAGAGAGGTCCATTTCCCCGCACTGTTGCATTCACTTTCAGGATCCGTGTTTTCAGTTCCCAGGACTGACTAACCCCATGGGGTAGCTTCTGCTTTTCACTTCAGCTCTGCTGCACAGGGCTGGTGAGCAGCCCCTGTGCTGAGCAAGGGAGCAGAGCCTGTCAGCCATCCTGTGCGGCGTTATGCACAGCTGTTCCCCAGCTGCCCTGCCCCAGAGGTGGCTGCATCTGAGCGCTGGTCAAGCCATCCCGATCTCTAGACCCAGTACAGTGGAATGAAAACAGCTGTACATAAGTCTGGAATATGAGATGGGGATTTAATAAAGGGAGTGGCTGGCTTAGGGGGTGGGGAGTGAGGCACGGGGCCTTTCCCCACTAGGGGGTGCTGGCTTCCATCACTTTCCCTTCCCCCCCCCACCTGGCCCCAGCCCGGAGGTAGCTGGGATTTGGTTTGGGCTACGTTTATATATCAGCAGCTGAAGCCAGGCGAGAGACAAGGGAACAAAGTCCCTTCTGGAAAATTCATTTCCCTGGCAGAGGGGAGGACGGGCCAGCGCGGAGCTGCACAGAATTAACCCTCCCCACCCGACTCACTCCCAGCACGACTCTGGAAAGCCACCGGGGAAACTAAGGCACCAAGTTGAGGCAGGGCCTGGCCAAGGTGACACTGACAGAACCCAGGAGTCCTAGCTCCCAGCCGCACCCTGATCTAATCCGCTACACCCCACACCCCTCCCAGAGCTGAGGAGGGAACCCAGGAGTCCTGGTTCTTAGTTCTAGCCTATAAAAAGAACCTTCTGCTGTTTTATACTGTGACAACCAGTGAACTTTGCTGCTCCCCAGAAATAGCTGCATCTCAGCTGTTCCCCAGCTCCCCATCCCCAGAGGTGGCTGCATCTCAGCGCCGGGCAAGCCATCCCCATCTGGCATTATGCGTAGCTACTCCCTGGGTGCCCTGTCCCAGAGCTGGCTGCATCTCAGCACTGGGCGAGCCATCCCACTATGGTGTGATGTGCAGTTGTTCCCCAGCTGCCCCGGCCCAGAGGTGGCTGCATTTCAGCATTGAGAGCAAGCAGTGTGGTTTGTAACTGCAGGAGGCAGCCGCTGTTTTAGGAGGGGCTATTTCATGCACTATCGATGCTATGTCACAAGCCACAGTGATAAGGGGAAATTTGCATTTGGTGCCTGCTCAACACAGGGTCTATTTGAACCAGCACCAGGACCCAGTGGAGGTGAATTTCGGATTATGTCACGGCCTTTTCTGCTCCCAGGCTGCGGTTATGCAAAGGAGTAGCTGGGAGTGCGACTGGGACGGCTCGCCCGGCGCTGAGCTGCAGCCACCTCTGGGGATGGGGAGCTGGGGAACAGCCGCACATAACGCCACACAGGGACGGCTCGCCCAGCGCTGAGATGCAGACACCTCTGGGGATGGGGAGCTGGGGAACAGCCGCACATAACGCCTCACAGGGACGGCTCGCCCAGTGCTGAGATGCAGACACCTCTGGGGATGGGGAGCTGGGGAACAGCCGCAGACTGTTATCAGAAGGGACTGTCCTTACTGAATCCCCCACTTCCCTTCTCTTGTGGGTTCTCTCCCCGGCTCTGGGAGGAGAGTGGGTCTAGTGGTTAGAAGAGGGCATGGGGCTGGGAGCCAGGACTCCTGGGTTCTCTCCCTGGCTCTAGGAGGAGAAGGGAGGGTCTAGTGGTTAGTGCAGGGGGTGGAGGGAGAAGTGAAACAGAAGGGGAAAGTGGATGCCATGTTTGGGTTCCCAGTCAATTTCACTTGAGTTTAATGACCCGATTGCTAGTAACACAAACCAGAGAATATTCTTTACTCTGGGAATTTCCTTCAGACTGAATCGATCGCTCAGACCGAACGGCTGATTTCCACTGGATTCCCAGCTCTTGACCGGTCTAGATGCAGCGGTACCTTGCCCAGGACTGAGGTGCAGCCACTTCTGGGGCGAGGCAGCCGGGGAGAGCCGCACTGTGACACTAGAAATGTGTGCCGGAAGAAACAATGGGGAATGTAGTGGTCGGAAAGCATCTGTCTGCTGGGGTTCGGCGGGGTAACCCCAAGATGGAAGGGAAATGTAATGACCCTAGGGCGCACCCCACTAACGATTTCAGGCCAGCACTGACTGCCAGGGGAGAGCACCCCCTGCCCCACTCCCCACAGCACGGTGCCCCCCAGGACCTGGCCCTGGCTGCCAGGGGATAGTGCCCCCTGGCCAGGCCCCCGCCCCGTGCCCAGCCCTGGCTGCCAGGAGGATCTGCTGAATGTTGTAGCGATGCCCAGGGCCCACAAAGCTGGTGGCGGTGCGGGAAGCCTGTGGGCAAAGCCGGAGCGGCTATTGGCTGGATTTCACCATTTCTCGGCTCTGCCTTGCCCCGGGCCCGAAAACTTGCACTGCTCCGGGCAGTGATGGGCGACAGAGCCGGCCACCCGCCAAGGGACCCGGAACCGAGACGTCCAATAGCGTCTCATAGGATCAGCCCAGGGCACCCAGCCCCACAATCCCTGGCTCTAACCACTAGCCCCTGCTCCCCTCCCAGAGCTGGGGAACGAACCCAGGAGTCCTGGCTCCCAGCCCCCCTGCTCTAACCACTAGACCCCACTCCTCTCCTAGGGCCGGGGAGAGGACCCAGGCGTCCGGGCTCCCAGCCCCCCCTGCTCTAACCACTAGACCCCACTCCCCTCCCAGAGCTGGGGAGAGAACCCAGGAGTCCTGGCTCCTAGCCCCCCCTGCTCTAACCACTAGACCCCACTCCCCTCCCAGGCCGGGGAGAGGACCCAGGCGTCCTGGCTCCTAGCCCCCCCTGCTCTAACCACTAGACCCCACTCCCCTCCCAGGGCCGGGGAGAGGGCCCAGGCGTCCTGGCTCCTAGCCCCCCCTGCTCTAACCACTAGACCCCACTCCCCTCCCAGGGCCGGGGAGAGGACCCAGGCGTCCAGGCTCCTCGA